ATTAGAAGACATGATGGGGCTTACAACAAATTAAAAAGAATACGTGCAACCAAAGAAACTAATATATAAAGTCTTTGGGTTTAGCTCAAGTGGTGAGAGACGATGGAATAGTGGGTTAGGATTAGGAAAAGTAAATGATTTGATTCCGTCTAATGTTTAAAAAAGAAAACAAAGATATAATGTAAGTTAATTATGATAATAAATCTAAGGATTAAATACTTGTTTGGTCACTGGGTTTCACACAAATTTTAATTTGGTCACTGAGAAAATAATTTAGCTAAACTAATCACCGTATTATCCTAAATTTACAATTTATAAACAATGAGTCGGGTCTATTTTTTTAGGCCTACTTGCACCCAAGTTCAAATCCATCTCCCCATAAATTAGATTAATTGAGTAATTTAGACTCTTTTTTTTTTGGTAAGTAGGGGCTGAAAGCCGAAACCAAACAAACTACAAAACAGAAGAACGTGGCCTCACAGCTCCCCTAGCATCCGCAACAAAATATCTTCAAGAAAGTCAGGAACCTCATCATAGACATGAAGACCAGGGCCAAGATTATAACTTCTGGTAGCCAAAGCATCAGAATCTACATTTTGTTCACGGTAGATATGCTAAATTGCACAACACCAGGATTCATGAATCTTAATTTTACAGCAGGAAATGATGCTGTAGAGAGGGTGAGTTGGAACAATAGGAGAAGATAAGAGAGTTACACCAAAGCACACTGCATAATTTATCATTAAAACACGAATGACAGTAATATGTTTACTATAATAAGCTGCCTAACCGACATAAACCTGGTGAAGAAAAACAAGGGCAAGGTTAACAAACAATGCTAACTTAGTAATAGCGCGAGCCGGTATCATAAACTCGGCCTCCAGGATATGGACCTCTAGGCTCAAACCCATGATCACGAGAACCTCCAAGAAATCGAGCCCGCTCTCTGTAGGACTCATATTGATCAGTATTATAGGCTCGGTGCCCTTCACCACCAGCAGCTGAGGCTGCAACTCCACCGTACCCACGAAGTTCAGAGGGGCCCATGCTGCTGTTAGGGTAACGATCCATTACTGATTGCTGGTACTGATGCTGTCGGGCATTTGATTCCCTACGAAGCAATTCGTCTCTACGACTTGCATGCCGCTCCCGAAGTGCTACTAGTTGTTCTTCATACTGAGCATTTATCGCACCAATTTTCTGACAAACAGATGAATCACTAATGCGTAAGGTGGAAGACAAATGAATATCTTAAATTATGTAGAAACTGATTTTCCCTTATATTATTTATAAGATCATTATACAATATATATCAAGTTTGTAGAGAATAATCTACAGTTACAACAAGCCATTATCATAAACATAAATATGGAGTTATGGCCTAATAACAACATAACTGACAACTGACCATTTCCTATCATTAGTAGGATTAACTATTGTAACTGAAATACTATTGTAACTCCCTAATACTCCCCCGCAAATCGAGCACACACAGCATAGCAAGATTTGAATGAAGAAACTACATAGTAATGGAGATGACGGCAGCAGTCGGTTGTAGTAGTCCAGTAAGGGGAACCAAAAAGAAGAACTCCAATCTCCAGAGTTGCAACAACAGCATGAGAGAAACAAAGTAAACATAACGCCCATTGAAAGGCAGGAAGTGAAGGAGCGCACAGGCTCATTGAAGAAAGGAATAAAATGATGGGCTGACATACAAGTCAAATGGACCTAGGAAACAACTTTAGGCACCTACGAAACATAACTCTACCTAGGAATCACCCTTTAGGTAGGATAAAGAGCATGCGGTAAGCGAGAAAAGAAGTAGCCATGTAGAAAAGAAAAAAAAGTTACACCCATAGGAAGAGAGGAAGTGGAAACAAAAGAAAATTTATCACATGGTAAGTAGAAAGGGATGTGTGCAACGAAAGCAGAAGGAATATTTGAAGGGAATAATGGGGTTAAGAGAGGGTGGCACAACAATAGGGGATAGGAGGTGAAACCAACTTGGGACACAAAGAAAAGAAAAAAGAGCATGGGCAAGTTTGAATTTCAAAGCAACATAGAAACAATAAAATAAGGTATGGGGAAGAAAACCACGTGGGAACAGAGAAGTGATAAAGAAAGGATCATCACAAGAGCATAGGGGCCCATAGAGATTAAAATAAAAAGAGATTATTGACCCAAAAAACAATAATAAGAAATAAAGAAAGAAACCAAGTGAGACAGAAATGAAAAGATAGTATGGGCAAAACACATAAAGAGAAAATCCTTTCAAAATAAAGATGGAAAAAGGAGAGAAAAAGAGGAGAAAATTGAACACTCATCAAAAGGAGAAAGTAGTCAAGAGAGGGAGAGAGAACACAAGATGCGAAGGAGCGCATGGGCTCATAGAAGGAAGGAAACTCAAGATGCCAGAAACAACCCATGACGAGGAGAGAGAAAACACAATTGAAAAGAAGAGAAGAAAACATCCCAATAATATAAAAGAATTATAAAGATACGAAGACAATACCAGTAACAGAGAATAAGAAAGGCAGCGCAAAAGAACAGCGAAAGACAGAGACCAGTAGTAAAATCAAAGAAAGAGATTGGGTTTAAGAGGGGAGGAGAACACCGGTTGAGCAGAGATAGAGCGTGAGAGGCCGATACCAAAGCAACAACATAGAGATACCAAGTCGGCAACACAGTGATAGGGCTTGAGTGGTCGATACCAAGTCGGCAACACAGAGGAAGAAACAAGGGCTGTGCAAAGGGAATAGCGGCAGTGTAGCACAGCAAAGAAGGCTCGGCAAGCGTTGACGAGGCCCGCAAAGGAAAGAGAGACAGCTAGGTGAACGATATGGAAACCACGATAGAGAAACCATCAGAAAAACATGGGAGAGGGAAACCACAATCGTAGACTAGGATAAAATCCGGCAAGCGTTGACAAGGCTTGCAGATGGAAGAGAGGCGGCGCGACGGAGACAAAGAAGTGGAGAGAGATTTCAAGAGAAAGAGGGAAACAAGGATAGAGAGGTGTGTTCTCTGAGGGAGAACAGAGATCTGACCATCATGGTAAGAGACGGACATGGATGAGGAGTGGGACTAGGTATCTGAGGAGTGGAAGAGGTACTAAGCAGTGGAGGAGAGGGAAAAAAAAAAACAACAATATTCATCTTTGAGAAGAGGAGAGGAAAAATGATTGTACAGAAACGAACACTCTTACGGGTGAGGAGCGCCAACGACTCTCAATGTTGGCAACTAGAGGATCGCTAATCGGCGTTAGCCATTAGCTCTGATACCATGTAGAAACTGATTTTCCCTTATATTATTTATAAGATCATTATACAATATATATCAAGTTTGTAGAGAATAATCTACAGTTACAACAAGCCATTATCATAAACATAAATATGGAGTTATGGCCTAATAACAACATAACTGACAACTGACCATTTCCTATCATTAGTAGGATTAACTATTGTAACTGAAATACTATTGTAACTCCCTAATAATTTACAAAAAAAACAAGCATGAAACAAATCCTCATCCCCAATTATAGATGGGATGTCAGAAAAATAGAACAGAACGCAAGAGAAAAAGAATATGTGAAACAGGGAACCTTTTAGTTAATTTAAGCAAACTAAAGAAAATGAAACCTAAATTTAGAGCTCATTTGGGAGTGATTATGGGAGGGCCAAAATCACTTCCAAAGGGATAGAACCACTCTTGTTTAAGAAATGAAGTGTTTGGCAAAAAAAGTGCTTTAAATGTGTATTAAAATCACTTCAAGTGATTTAATGGAGAAGCACATGGGAGGTGCTTCTCCTTAAAAGTGATTTTTTTGTAAAACACGGGAATCACTTGGAAACTTTTAAAATTCCAATATTATCCTTATTATTTTTACTAAATGCCCAAATAGCCTATGCTCCCAGAAACACAAACCGAGCAGCAGAGGGCTGAAAATCAACAGAAGCCGTGAGCTTACAACCAGTAGTGTCACTGATGCCATGAAACTGAACCCCATCAAGCATACAAGTGACCCTTTGACTGCCAAGCCACTCAGGGCTGCCAATAGCACCATGGCGCCTGAGGCCTGTTGTCCTCTATTGTGTTTTGCAGAGTTCTCTCTTTTCTGCAATCTCTTTGGCTATGTAGTAGAGGAAGTTAGTGCTATAAACTAACCTCTTTGTGTCTAGCATTTTCTGCATCCTCAGCATCGTTCTGTTCCTTGGTTAGTTTCCTAATGTCATCAAGGAATTTCTGCTCAAGTTCTTCAAAAGTCTGCGAGGAAGGCTTGTCCTCATACCCAAGGTCCATATCTTCATTATGAGATTGAGATCGGGAATCATTGTTGTTTTGTTTCTCCATAGCAAGTTTTGGATCAGGCCTTTGACCCTGGAAATAGGATCTTGATGTATCACCCCCTTGACCTGCAAAACAAGCATGTGACCCTAAGCATACACATTTCAAAATTTCAACAAGAAAAGAACTTAAGGCATGTCATAACCTAGAGGCCCTCACCTGAGCGACTAATCCAACACAGCCGTTGGATTCCAATGGCCCGCTCAGGTGAGCACTTCTATATCAAAACCTTTGCTAGTGACAATAAAATCATAGGAATGTTATAACAAAAATATGACATTGCCAAAAAAAAAGTAACAAAAGATGGGGATCACACTGAAGGACTACAGCAAGCTAAAATGTTTTGTTAGTAGCAATAACGGTTTTGTCCGCATGAAAATTACAAAATGTCTTGGAAAGATGACAAAGGTTTCTAATTCAACCATGTCCCACCAATAAAACTCAACTTCTTTTGTTTGTTGAACATATGGAGGTACCCTAATGGGACCCTCCATCACTTTCTCCCTTGTTACCCTCATGAATACAAATAGAGGGCCTGGTATCTGTTAATATTTAGGGATTTACCTCAACCACCATTGACAATGAATAAATAATTTTTCTATAGTCATATGCCTCTCAAGCTTGTAGAATAACATAAAAATGTAAACCATAACAAGTACACCGCCAATCCGAATATAACATCAAACATTTTCACATCTACATAGTAATGTAAATAAAAAGAGATCAACATAACATGCACTCTATGCTCCTACCGTGACAACATTTAGCTCTTATGTATATTATTACAGATAAACTTTATTGGCAAAACAGCCAATACCAGATCATGCTTGGTTGAAGATTTGGCTAAGGAAAACACAGCAGATCTTAAAAGACAAATGATGCAGCCCAGGAATTAAACAAAAAATGGCTATGTTTCAATCTTGCTGAACGCGTGGATGGGGGTGTAAATGTTGGAATGTAAAATTAAGCCTGGACAAAGCAAACATGTGGACAATTTCTGCTGGCACGAACAGTAAAAATTAGGCAAAGTAACGTGGCAATAGCAGCTATTGGAGGCCACCTGGAAAAGGAGTTTATTTGGCCCCAACCAATCACCCTACCCCAGGAGCATCATGTGAGAACAAATTGCTCTGGGCAAGATTGGAGAAGCAAAAGGAGCCCATTGAAAGGGGGGCGAGCTACAGGGAAGAGCAAAACCTAAGAAGAGAATGGAATAACATTTGAGAGGATACAAAGGTATACTTAGCTTATCGTCGAGGCCTCACATTCATCTCCGGCATCTCCATCTCCGTCTCCCCTTCGATTTGAGAATAAACATCTATGCAGGATGCCTAAAGCATCAACCAATCATCTCTCACTAACTACATCCAAATCCAAAAGAGTTTCAACCCCAAACTTCGACATGTTCAATAATCAGTGGGAAAATGGATCCTGTGGAGAATATTTATCACTTCCCAGAATAAAATGGCATTGGAAGGAGAAGAGAACACTCACCAGTGTCATGTATATCCACTCTGTCAGGACCAGCCCTGCTCAAGGTTAAGCATATGCCGCCCGGACCTATCCCTAACTTACAAAGCCATGCAAGTTGTTCATACCTTAGTAAACTGGGAATTCTTGGCAACGAAGCACCTTACTTCCGTATTCACCATGAAGGTGGCAAACGGAGAGATGCTGACTAATTTCTGAACTCATCTAGATCCTTGAATGAACAGTCCTCCTCAAGAAATTAAGACTTATGCCCCGTTGTTACAAGAGTCCACAGCATAAACAGTCAGACTCTGAGATGTTTGGCTATCAGTGCCAACTGTCAGCATACGGAAAGGAGTTGAACTAAATTTTCCCTCTCCCCCAATCAGAAGTAGAGAACAGTAGAACAAGTATAGGGGTGCAAAAGCCGGCCAGTCTAAAGTTGACGAGTGCTACTGGCACGAACACCTAAAAAGAGAAAAATTGACGTAGCAATATCAATAAGATCCTAACCGTATAGGACGCTGGGTAGGCCAACAGAGTTTGTTTTTCCCCAAGTGAACACCCTTGAGACCCAAAACTATCCAGTAAAGGAAAGCCAATAACTATCTCTAATTAGTTCTGGAACTAAGTCCAACAAGGAAACAAGGACCAAAAATAAGAGATTCCTTTCTTTTCTTCATTACAAACTCAGGATTCATGACAATTATGGTGTCGTATGAGTTACACTTCCATGTCCTGATAGGAGAAGGTAAGAAATGTACAAATACGACATGATTTCTTCACAACAGGAATGACTGAATTCCTTTATTAAAACCCTGCTACGATGCTTCTACTTTCCTAGCTTGAGCCTTAGAGTGCCTTTTACAGGTGTACTACTCCATCAATTTCGTGAGACGTGTGAGAGGAGTAGCTAAAGTTATTAAGATTTGTGCTAGGAAATAAAATCAAATGCGTACAACCAACATATTTTATAGAGTTCTGAAAGTCCTCAACACTCTTGATAATTACATTGGTTTAGGGACTTGAATGACTGACTAATTATTGTAATAATCACTTTGCCCGAATTTTTTAGCCTTTAACAAACTAGAAATAAGAAAATATCTGATTACTAATTCAGAATTTAAGTTTTATTTGACTTATACCATAAACCAAAATTTTAAAAAAAAAAATTAAACAAGAACTTCAGATTTAGCAATTCATATCACAACAAACTCAGACTCATCATATACGTATATGAGAGAGAGTTGACAGCAACACTTGCCTTCATTGTACATATGAGATGCCATTGGATTTGACCCTTTTGATCCATCTCTTTCCCATCTCCATTGGCCCTCTGATTTTGAAGATGCATATGGATTATCCCTCTCTGGAGTGAAGGCTTCCAATCGTCCTTCAAAATGGCTAGATTTGTGCTCCATCCTCTGGCCAGACATATGATGCATCGGAGCAGCAGCAGCATATGTGTTCACTCCTGAATCACCATACTGCCCCTGCCGTCTCATCATAAACTCAACAAAACAGTGTCACCTTCAAACTTCAAACTTCAAAGCTGGACCTAACAAACAGACAACCAATTCAATCTTGTCAGTATATACTTCCTGTAATGTACACTCATTCGGACATTCTATCAAACACATGGCATGCAAGCTCAACTCATACATACGCCTAACCAGTTGAATCAAAAGGCTAACAATTAAATTTGAAAAGGCATATAAAAACTTAAAATTGAAACCAATAGAAGAGAAAGATTGAAAATTGTTAAAAGAAGAACATTCATTAAGAGGAAAAAAACGATTTTTCTTACCAGTCTTGATTTTTCTTGATTTCTTTATCTGCCTCTCCTGGTAGTTGAGGCCGAAAATCGAACCAGACTCCAGAAAACCGTTTGGGTCTTAAATGGGTTTTGTTATGGACCACAGCAACCATCCCCCCTTGGTGGGCTTTGGCTTTGTATTTTAAATTTTTCTGTTTACTAGCAACAGTTGGCCCAGGTTGGTACCATCTCGGTAGGTGTTTGTTTTTTCTTTTAAAAAAAACAGATGAGTAGGAAGACGTAAGTTAGGTAAGTTGGCCAAGACACTACGCCCATCCACTTATATTCAAATTTGAATTCCCCTTAGATTACTTTAGAGTAAATTGTCGTTTGTATTAAAAAAATACAGATGAGTAGAAATAGAAAAGATATTACCTTTTTTTTTTGTCAAAAAAAAAAAATTACTTATGCTTGACATTGATCTCATTTATTGACATTGTTTGATTACCTATGGACCTTTTAAAGCTTAGTTTTTTAAAAAAAAATTAAAAATTAAAAATTAAAAAAAAAAAAAAAAAAACCAATGATAGAATATTTTATTACATTCGAATGGTAGTGCTTACATAAGCTGCAAGCACATTAATGAATCATTCATGACCAACTCCATCCCAATCATGATATCCTCTATGTGTAGAAACAAAAGGCCTGTTTGGCATTTTACTCAAAAAATTGAATTAAAAAAATCATGATTTATTTTTTAAAAATGAGTTTTAAAATACTGAATTTAATATCTAAAAGCTTGTTTGGTATTGAACTCCAAATTATTTTTAAGATCTAAAAAAATTGAAATTAAAATCAGAAACCCTAAATTCCCAAATTAAAATTAACAAAAAAAAAAAGGTGAAAGGAGAGAGGGAGGTAATAAATTGGACCCCCTTATGCAAGTTTATTTAGTCAATGTTCATATTTAGAGACTTAAGGGAATGGAAGTTTATCCCTGGGAATTCAATGTGTTCTTGAGTTTGAGTTCCAAGTGGTTCAGTACTAGGATTCACAATTTCGTTCTAAATTCAAATTGTAATGAGCAGTTTGGTTCAATTTTAAATATATAAAAGTTAAAGGTCCAAAACCAAACCGACTCATGCTAAAAATTCTCATTTTTTTGGAAATTAAAAAACAATACTTATTTAGATGAAATTTAAAGTTCGAATTTGTGGCCTCTAAGCGCTTTGTTTTTTCTAGGTAGAATTTCTAAATGTTTAAGTTAATAAGCCCTGAATAAGAGAATATTCCAAGTTCATTTTTCTATCCATGTATAAACGGTTTGGTTTAGTTTAGTTTTACACTTAAGAGGTGTAATCGTGGACCAATCAAAATCATACTGCAATTTAGGATTCGATAGTCGGTTTGGCCTCTTTGGAAACCGCTAAATCGAACCAACCCGTCCACAATAGGTTTTTTTATTTGACACCTTATATTTTCTGATTAGTTGCTTAATTTGTAGTATAAGTTCAGGCCGTCACATGTTACCGAATATTTGCTTACTTGTTATGAATGGCAACCAACCCAACCAAATTGAACTAAATTGATCACCAAATGGATTGATTTAGTTCGGTTATACTACTAGAATGATATGTATACCAAATCAATCCAGATTTTGGTGTTTACTGGTTCGGTGTGCAGAGGCCTCAAATGATTTTTCCTTTTCACACCAAAGCACCTTTAAATTCCTCTAAAATCTGCAACGGAGATTTCAAGGCTCATGAAGTGTTTCCCCTACTAGTTTCTTATCTTCTTTTGCCCTAAACTTGATCTCTCCCAGGTTTAATAAATTGAAGCTTGCAACTTCATTGGCACCCTCGACTCTCCTTCTCTTATAGCTTATTAAGTGACATTCAGACTTTTCAGTTAGAGAAAGTAACACCCTCTGAGTTGAGAAGCTCTGCAGCTTCAAACCCATGCAAGAAATCGGATTTTGCCTTCGTCAGTCAAGCCAAAATATAGAGAGCGTAGTTACAACAGCATCTTGCACATGTAGCATACACGGATCGCATGTACTACCTGAAGGAATTTGTTATGTTCTGCACACAATCTATGGAGTTGAAGCCGTAGCACCGAAGCATCGAGGATGTGGGCGGTAAATAGTATGATGGCTGTGTAAGGTGAGTCCAACAATGACTCATTACTCTCAGTTTTCATTACAAATGTTCCAAGGTTGCTATGCCATATACCAACTAGCACAAAACCTTACCGGTGATGGGGGGACTGCTGTCATTTGCAAGCAGGTAGGATGCCTAGGCAACACAATCTATTCATTTCATTCTCTGGGACCAAATAGCTATCCATCCACCACCTTCTTATGAACAGGCGCTGCATTTGTATTTTATGCATACATTTATATACGGTTTTGTCTAACAAAAGAGCATTCCAATCCTTACACACAAGGCACTTGAAATAGACATTTGATTCTTATATGACTAAGATACCAGGTGCTCAACTAGCAGAGACCAAAGATCCAAAGACAATTTTAAAATTGAAACTGATGCAAGACAACTTCTGGTTGTGATCATCCTTGATTGTCATCTTGAGATTGTAAGAGCCCTGTAAATACGAAACAATGTTATCTATGTGAAACATCCGAATAAAACCCATCACCAAAGAATAGGTTTAAAAGTGCAACTGTTGAGCAGAAATGCTAATAAGAAAAAGAATTTAAATATTGCATCTTGTTAGCCACACATGTGAATAAAATTCGATATCCACATAAAGAGTAAGAGAATGATATTCTTTTCTCTCTCATGCCTCTTGAGCCTTAACCACCTAATTACTGCCACATTGGGAACTCCTGAATGAAAACTGTAAAAACATTTTCAACATAGGAAGCTGCTGTTTCTTAGGTTCTTTTGGGGGTTTTTTCTTACTCTGGATTTTTTTGTGCTTGTTTGTTATTATTTTTTTCTATTTTCTTTTCTTGTCTTGTTTTGCTTCAGTGTATTCTAGGTGGAGTTCTGGTTCCCTGCATTTGTCTTGTTTTCACATGTGCCTTATAAAATTGTTCTTTATCCCTGTTTATTTTAAGAAAAACCTGCGACTAGATGATCATAAGTAAAAGTATTAAAGGAAAATTCAAGACTAAAAGTCAAATTATGATATGAATAATGGTAAGACCAAAACTCTAGGAAATGTTACGCACTCAATATACATACAACAAACACACACACCACAAGAAAGTCATGCGTTTCCAATAAAAGAATAAAACAAAAGGTGGCAATGAGGACTGGAATCTATTAGAAAAGTATTATAGGTAATAATTCGCCAAAAGAAACCAATGACGAGCAATCTGAGGTAAACAACTATCTTCAATCAGGATAAACAAGCCATTGGAAAATTAAATCCAGTGAGGAAGTCGCAAAATAAAACATTGTATCAGAGAATAAAATAACAGAGGAATCATAACATAATGAATCTCTCAAGTCAAGAATTGACATAAATGTGACAAGCCAAGAAAAAAAAACACATAAGCAAAGAAAAAAAAAACATAAGCAATACATAAAAGCTCTATGAACACAAAAAGCTATAAATTATTAATAACAGGCACAAACTAATAATATATCAGAAGCCCTGCTACTTTAAAATGGTTTTGACGAAGTAAGAACAACAAAACATGTAAAGTAGAAAACAGATAAGAATGTATTGAGTTCAACAAATTTAAATTTAAAACATATCGGTTTCAGTTCTGTATAAGCTATACATTTAACCAAGAAATATCGACGCCGCCGAGATACTAGAGACAATTGTAAAAGGTTCATAGTTATCAAATGGTGGGCATGAGGAAATGACTAAAATAATTTCTTGTGATAGTCCTAATGTGATATGAAGCCTAAATAGAAATACTTATCATATTGATGTAGTACAGCTCGTAGGTATTAGATTAAGCACTTAAACAATAGAACATAGAAGAATATAAGAGATCGAGGAGATGAAAATATAGATCGAAAAGACGAAAGAAAGGGCAGAACAGTAGAACAAGAAGAATATCGGAGGTCAAGGAGACGAAAATATAGATCGAAGGGACGAAAGAAAGGACCGAAATCAGAGAATTGAGAAGGAAGGACAGAAATCACATAGTTATAAGAGAAGGTTTACTCAATATCCAAATCTGAATTTTAAAGAACTACACGGGGTTATTTATAGCAAACTAAAACCTAGACATAATAGGATAAAAATCCCTTGCTTAAACAAAAATCCTAACCCAAATAAAATAGGAAACTTAAAACTAGAAATCTGGAAATCTGGAAAAGTAGAAATCCTTCTAGAATTTGGAAAACTAGAGAATCTAGGAAACTAACAAATATATTAGGAAACTAATAAATTTAGGTCCTACGCATCCTGCATCACATATACTGCAACACTGAACATAGGGAGAACTCAAAAGTGGATACAGAAAATCGTGGCACAAGTTTTTGATTGGGAAAAATAAATTAGGTGGTATCGGA